AGAACCTGGGAGTGGTTGCTCTGTGCTACAGATTTGGTCATAGTGGTGCAAGTCATAGGTTGACCAGGGCTGGGGTCTTATCTGAAGGCTGTCTAGGGAAGAATCCATTTCTCAGATCATGGATTGTTTGAAGAATTGCAGTTTCTCAGGGGTTGTTGGACTATTGAGCTGAGGGATGGTTAGAGCCTGGCCACATGGTCTGCTTAACATGACAATTTTTCTGTGAAAGCCATGAAGGGAGAAGGTCTGCTAGCAAGTGAGAAGTCACAAGCTTACTTAGCTTAATAAGGAAAAAGACACCCACTGTCTTCAGTGATTGGAAGCAAGTCACTAGGCCGGCACACACTCAGGAGCAGGGGCTTACCGGGGCACAAGTTCCAAAAGGCAGATGCTTATCTTAAAAGTGTGCCTACTGCAAAGTCCCCACTCCTCTACAGGGCAAGAGTTTTAAATCCTGAGCTCTCTTACAGGATAGTTTATGTATGAAAATAAAAAAAGTGACAACTAAATGGAATGGTGGGATTCTGAATGGAAATCCTGGAAATATTTGAATAAGCCCTTACCTTAAAGGTATGCACCAATGGTATTTTCCTGGTTCTAATAATTATAACAGTAATAAGATAATTACATATTATAATAATAACAATTATAAAACAATTACATTGGAAGAGTCTGAATTAAGGATACAGGAAACATTCTGCACTATTTCTATAACTTCTCTCTTATGTAAAATAGTAATCCAAATTAAAAGTTAGGAAAGGTATGGTTTATAAAACTCAAAAATTCATTGACCATACAAATTTACTTTGTGGCTGTAGCTTATTCAATAATTTTACGTCCTGTTTTAGAACTTCTTGGAGATAAAAATCTATATGTTTATAGGTATATCATAACAAAATTTTTGGTAGATAAGTTCTCTAAAAATTTTATAGGTAAAATGCATACATTTTTGGTAGATTATTTTAGAACATTCTTGGCAGTGAAACCACACTCTCACTATATCGTAGCATTATTTATATATTTATCAAAAGTTTCAATAAATAATTACTTAGGATGCATAAGAGTTTGCTACCTTAACTTCAGTTAAAATGCATCAAGGACTTTTGTTCAAAACCCCAAATGGAATTCACACATCAATTTAAAACAATCACCGTTTCTAAAATAGCAATTCTGATAATTGAAGTGGATCCTCCTGCAGGCTGAGTAGCATCTTCAGTTGTCAGTTTGCCTGTTGCTCGGATGTGGACACTTGCATTCCAAAATAGTGTGGCTCGCTTCACTGTGCTGCTCCATGGGACAAACAGCAGGATACTTCAGCCCTTCGTAGGCAGCTGGATTTCATGCAAAGCAAGAATAAATGCCTCTCATTTTTCTCACTGTTTGAAAGGGCTTTTAGTGGTTAATATTCTGTCACTGTTTCACATGTTCTGGGCCAGCAATTTAAAGCTTGTGAATCTTGGTTAGTTATACCTCTTAAGAGAGCTATTTTGGAACACTAGACATTTTTGTTAAGCCCTGTTTTTAGAATGGAGGACCTAATGGTATTTTAGTGTCTATGTATTCTCAGAACAAAGCTTGAGAAAAATGCCTGTTACCTTTTGAAATTTATTAAAGCTAGTGGGATTATCAGTGTTCCTCTGAGAAACATTGTTAAAGAATTAATTTTGATTTATGGAATGTCTGTGGTAAAAGGACCATGGTGAGTGTTGCAAACTGCAACACTCTCACTTTTCACAGAGGGAAACTGAGTCTTGGCACAGGTGAACTATTGGTGCAGGTCAGGAGGAGGAGTGACTGTGGGAAGGCAGGAGGGTGGTAGATTTAGAGAAATGACCATGGTAAGGGTAACTGATGATTTAACTTCAGAACATGAACATAATCTGCTGTGCCCATGCTAAAAGTTCATTGTTACCATGGGAGATTCTGAAAAAAGATATGGAATGAACTTTTTGTTAATAGCTTTAGGAGTGAGGATATGTCCAGAAATCATTTGTGAGAGTCTGGCTCTCAAAGTGGTGGTCAGTTTGATAACCATCTCCCCAGGCTTCAGAAAAAGGCTACAGTTTTTCAATTTCAAATGGTACCTGAAATTTCCCCAGGGATTCCTCTACCTTAGTGAGGAGTCTTCTTTTAATAAGGAAAAAATAATCTCCCCAAAGAATCAGTGTCCATTTATCATGTATTACTCTGTATTTTTGCGCCAATCTCTCTCTTATTTAAAAGCTTCACTGAGATCAGCTGCAATTCGGAGCACAGTTTTGATTGACTGTAGGAAAAGAAGAACATGGTTTGTGTGCTGTGGTGCAGGTGGTCATCCGGGTGGGGTGCTTGGGACTGCCTGGATGGTATTAGGATACCGGCAAAAATGTAGAGGAACTATGCCAAAGACAAGCCCTGGAGTGTTTTTCTGTGGGCTGTCTCATACCTACAGAAGAAGCAAAGACTATTCTACTTTCTTTTCTAGGAGTGAGACAGCCTTATTTTCCCTAGCTCCTTTGGTAAGCAATAGATTCACTATAAGCATTTTTTTTTTTCCAGAATGAAGTGTAGGCTCAACCCTGATGCATACAGTTATGCAATGGGAAAGCGTCTGTCATTTGAGACACATCCATGAAGTAAGATTTACCATAGGACAGCAGTTCCTTGGCTGGGTCCTTGGGTCAATCTGCCTGGGTTCTCATCCTGGCTCTGCTACTCATTTCCTCAGTGAACTTGGACAAACTCCTCCTCTTTCCTGTGCTTCAGTTCTCTTATTTGTGTACAAGGTATAACAGCAATCGTGCTTCTCACAAAGGGCTGTTGAGAAATATAAATGAATTAGTGCATGCAAAGCACTTAGCACAGTGTCTAGCAAAGCGTAAGTGGTTGACTTCAATCCATGCTCTCCACACTGCTTCACGCTGCATCCTGGTTTTACTCAAGAAAATATAGTCTGACTTCTCCAAAAGCAGATTTAGGTAAGTAAACATTTTTTAAACAATGTTGTATGAGTGGTGCTTTCTTTTTTATATATTTGCAGTCTAGACTCATAGTGATTCTCCTGTTTTCAGCCTTTGGTGGCCAGCTCAGGGTGCCCGGGGGTGGGGCTGGTGCTACATGTGGTGCCAGGGATCAAACCCCAGTCCCTGTACTTGCCTCAGCAGGTACTTAGTCCACTGAGATATCTCTACTGAGTGATGCTTTCTTAATTCTCTACCTAGTCTATTTCCCTAATTGCCAATACCAAGATTCTTGCCTGGATCAATTCATATTTTTCTACTAAAGGTAATTTTTTCAAATGGAAAACTTCTCTTTCTACATTTTCATTGTCAAATATAGTGAAATGTTAATTTATATAGATAACTATGTGAATATTGGGGATTAAAATATTGTTTCCATGTCATATCCTAAAATGATAATCCAAAACATTTTTTACTAGATTGTGAAGTACTCCTTTTTCACATTTTTGTTTCTAATGACATCTCCCTTCTCCCAAGATTCTTCTGTTTTATCCCACTGTCTGGCATATCCCATTCTGTTACTATAATCTGTAGAATTGGGTGGGATCCTGTATTAAGCTCTTTTGATCAGGGAGCTTCTAAAGCCCAACAAGTATCAGCCCTTTATGGGCATGGTGATGGGGGGCAGTAAACAAAGCACTGGCTAAAAGAGCAAATACCTGGATTCTGCTTGTGCTTCTGCCACTGGGAAGCTGCCCTGAGACTGCACAGCCTGCAGGCCACCCTGGAATCTCATAGGGCCTTGTGCTTGTCAAATAAAGGATTTGAATGAGGTGTTTAGAGTTTCTCATGTATGTAGCATTGTATGATCTGTGATATGTGGTAGAACCTTCATGAGTGAAGTGTGTGCTTTGATTTGACTGATGTATATATTTTCCTTCTCAGTTTCCTTAAAATTATTTGAAATACCTTTGGCAGATCCCCAGCAACGTGGAGGGTGCTGCTATAGCTGTGAGGTAGAAGAGCCACCTGGCTCCATGGCCTTGCCACTTTGGGGACTCAAGTTTGATGGTTTGATTCCATGTTAGGTGAAAAAAGATAAGTTCCAGGGGCATTGTGACTGCTACGATTAATGGAGAATTATTTTCATCTTTCCACTTTGCAGAAGATAGAATGAAGATCCGAAAAGCAAAATAGCTGCACAGGTCTTCCTGGTTGCCACTTGTCTGTATGTTTCTTTTGAGGAGGGCTGGACAGATTAAGGAACAACTTTCTCTCTCTCTGTCAGATATACTTGGAATTTCAAAGGGAAAATAATAAAGGGGTAACCTACTTTTTTTGACCTACTTCTGCCTTTGCCATTTTGGGGCCCTCATTTCTATGTTAATTTTCTCCTTTTGATATCATACAGAGCCCTTTTCTCATGGACTAGTATATTTTGGCATAAGATATTTTAAAACAATCACTTGAGATAAATGCTCCTAGACAGTTATATGCTATTTTATGGAGCATCTTATTTCCTGGACTGTAGGGCAGTGCTGGTGAACCTGTGCACACACGCCATTTGTTTTTCTTCTATGACAAAAGATGTTACTGTATGAATTGTCTTTTCTAAATTAAAACCTTAGTGTTCAGGATTAATTGTAATGTTGGCACTTTGCAATAAATACATGAATTTTGGCTTGCAGTTTGGGCCCTTGTCTCTAAAAGGCTTGCTATCACTGCTCTAGGTAAGAAGATGGCTGAAATCATTATCATAGGACTAAAAGTAAAAATAATTGCTATAGGAATTATAAGTTAAGATAACATTATGCCACTGGTGTTAACCTTATTTTTATTGTTTTGTTTTGAGATAAGGTCTTGCTATATAGTATAGGCTGGCCTTCACCTCACTATCATGCCCAATCTGGCTTTGAACTTGTGGAGAACCTCCTGCTTCAGCCTTACAAGTGCTAGAATTACAGGCATGGAGCACAACACAGGCTGGTGGGCAACTTGATTTTGTTATTTTGAGAATTATATTATAAAATTTTGATTTTGCACCTTTTTCTTTTCTTACAGGCATGGCCTCCAACCCTGCAGATCTTTCTGTGAGGCTGCCAAAGAAGGCTGTGAATCTGTTCTGGGCATGGTGAATGCCTCCTGGCCCAGCTTCCTAAGATGCTCCCAGTTTAAAAACCATTCTGAAAGCAGCAACACCAGCAGAATTTGTTTCTCACCACAGGAGGAAAATGGACGGCAACGTAGGTGTCTGTGTTTCATTTTCTTTTGAAGTTTTTCTTTGAGTATACTATTCATAAAGGGATAGGTAAAAATAAGTTTTAACAAGCTGACCAGACCCCAGATCAAGAAACAGGATATTAACAACACCCCAGAAGTGACCTCTGGGGCCTTCTACTCTTAATCTGCCCTCGGTAAGAAGTCTCTGTCCTGACTGTTACCACCTCATGTAGCTCTCCTTCTGTACTTCATAGAAATGGAATCAAACACTCTGCAACCTGCTTGTATCTTGCTGCATTTGCTAAGCATTATGTTTGAGAAATGCGTGAAGTTTTCATTTTAGTGGTTATTCAATCTTTGTTATGTAGTGTCCTAATAAGATTATACCACATTTTATTTCTCTATTTTGCTTTTGACAGACATTTAAGCTCTTTCTAGTTTTCAGCTATTATGAATTATGATGCTATGACTACGCTTATATATGTCTTTTGCTGCATGTGGTTATTGATTTGTTCAGTGAAAATATTCTCTCAAGTAGTTGCGGCAATTTATGCTTCTAACAGCTAATATAAAAGTTATGTTTGCTTCAAATCCTTCCATATAGAAGCTATACTTGTTACAAGTCTTTCCTGATCCTCGTCATTGCCAGTCTTTTTTATTTGAACAGTCCTAGAGAGATACTGTGATCTCTCTTTGTGGCATTAAATTATTTTCTTGATAAAATTGATCATCCTTTGGCTGTTTGAATATCCTTTTCTGTGACAATATTCTTTCTCTACAAATATTTGGCCAATTTCGCCATGGTCTTATTGTTGTTCATTGATAGTTTTGTAAGCCCTGTGCATACTTGTGTGTAGCTTGAATCTTTTAAATCTGCAAAGGCGCCCGTGCTAAGGGCAGGGAGGCCAGGAGAGGAGGTGGAACTTTTAGGAGGTGGAGCCTAGAGGAAGGAAGCAGAAAGCTTGGCCTGGAAGAGCATCCGGGGCCCTGCTGCGCCCTCTTCTGGCTACAGTAAGAAGAGCGTATTTTTCCATTCATTGCTCCCACCATGTTCTTCTGCCCTGCCACAGACCCAAAGTGACCAGCCTGATCTATCATAGACCAGAGACTCTGAAACCATGAGACAAGAAAAATCTTTCATTCCTTTAACTTGTTTATTTTAGATGTTTTGTTATAGTGACAGACAGAAAGGTAACATGTATAGTATCCATTGTATGCCTGTGTTGTAAGGATCTTCCCAATGGAGAACTTGGCTAAAGTTGCCCATGGTTCTCTTATTTGTAGCTATGGAATGGAGGATCTTAGTTTGGATGAGTCCACATCAGCAAGTTTTTCTTTTGTGATTTGTGTGTGTTAAGAAATCTTTGTTTGTCTTTCAAATATAGAAGATTTTCCCTTATGTTTCTTTTAGGATTGCTAATGTTTTCACATTCCATTTTTTAATTAATTTAATTTTGGAGTTAAGTTTTGTGTGTGGTAAAAGGTAGGGATTAATTTTTTGTATGTGTATTTTCAATTGACATGCAGTTCATTGTAAGAAGCCAATCCTTTTCCTCTGTATAGTGATTTCCCTGTTGTTATCAAACAAGCAATAGCCTTGATGCTCTATTTGATAGAAGTAAGCCAATACTATGTTGGGCTATGATAACTTTACAAGAAGTCTTTACACTGAATAGTATATGCCTTCCTTATTTTTAAGGATCATTTTGCCCACTGGATTTAATATGTATATATATATATATATATTTAACCACATAATGATATATATATATATATATATATAATGTATAACATCTATATGCATATGTATATATATAAAATCACCATGTAATTTCCAGAGATGCTAATTTTGCATTTTTTATTTAAATTTGGGGTGCATTAAGTGTATAAATCAAGTTGGGAAAGATTTCATTACAACATAGAATCTTTTAATCATAAAAATGGTACATCATGGTAATATTTAAATGGATAATTACTTTTATTTTATAAATTATTATCATTATTATTGTTATAATTACTTGCAATACTAGGAGTTAAATCCAAGGCCTTTGCACTGAACTAGAGCCTCAGGCATTTTTAATATTTCTAGTTTCTGTTTTGAGATGGTCTCACTAAGTCAGTAAGTTTCCCAGGGTGGGCTTGAACTTGCGAATTCTCCTCCCTCAGCCTCCCAGAGTAGTGGGAGGAGAAGAGTTACAGGCATATGCCACTGTGCCTGGCGTACATGAGTATTTTACATGAGATGCTTTTAAATTTCCCAACAATGTGTTTCAGGCTTAGCCATAGAAATCTTGCATATCTTGACTTACATTTTTTGTCAGCCTGTCCAAGTTGTGATGTTACTATAAGTTATATGTTTAATTTTTTTCTTTCTCTGTTTCTTTGCATCTAAGAACTTCATTTGATCACTTAATACATTTTGTAGTTTGTCTAAATTTATTTTCATTTTCTAAATATACAAGCATATTATATAAAAATAAGTTTGTTTCCTCCTCTCTGATCTGTATGCCTTCTTCTTCTTCTACATTTGAGATAAAGTTTTCAACATTTCACTTTTAATTGTGCTACTTGCTGAAGGGTTTCTTTGGATACTACAGTGACATTAACAAAATCATTTGCTGTTTGTAGTATCTTTAAAAAGTACTCAAAATTTTATCTAATGCTTTTTGAATGTTTATCAAGTTGATGTGTGATTTTCTTCAATTTATGGTAATAACTATAAAAATACCAGCTATGTTAAGATACAATTAGAGCTCTTTGAAGCTCATCTGGTTAAAGTGTGCAATTAAATAGCTTTAGTACCCTCATGGAATTGTCCAGTCTTCACAGCAACTAATTCCAGAAGAGTTAGAAAGAAACCCACATGCATTAGCAATAAATTACCACCCTTCTTGCCCTTAACCCTGGTGACCTCTCTTCACTTGTGTATCTATGAATTTGACTATTTCAGATAATCCAAGTGAGTTGCAGTCAGACAATATAACACATTTTGTGATCGGCTCTTTTGACTTAAAAAATGTTTTCACACTTCATACATTTTGAGCATATATCAATATTTTATTATATTTTACTGTTAATATTCTCTTTAGATACACAGTATTAAAATGTATATTTTAATTACAGAGCATCTGAGTCAGTTTCACTTTATTACTGTAATGAATAATACTGCTATGAATGTTCATGTGTAAGTTTTTGTGTTGACATGATTTTTGATTCTCTTGGGTAAATCCCTAGGTGTGAACTGTCAGGATCACTGGTAACTGTGTGTAACATTTTGAAGAACTGTCAGCTCTACCAGAAATGCATAGGATTCCGGCTTGTCCACATTCTCACTTACACTTTCCCTTCTTTGTAATCATCTCCGTTACTGTACTATCCCACTGTGTCTTCGCCTCACGTTTTCCTAGTGGCTAACTATGTTGAGCAGCATTTCATGCTGGTGTTAGCCACTGTACATCTTACAATGGGAAATGTACACTCAAGTATTTTGCTCATTTAAAAATTAGGTTGCTTTTTAATTGTTGAATTTATGAAGATTTTCTTTTAATATATTCTGGATACAAGCTCCTTATCATACGTGCAGATTTCTTTTTAACATCCTTGGGGAGGGACCGAGGCTATAGCTCAGTGGCACAGCACCTGCCTGGCAAGTTGCAAGATCTGACTTCAATTTTCAGTACGCACACAAAAAAATTCTAGGGTAGTCTTTATTTTGTTAATGACTCCTTTGAAGCAGAAAGGTTTTTAAACGTGAGGGAGTCTAACATATCTGCTCTTTCTTCTGTTCCTTGTACTTTAATAGAGATGTCTAAGATGCACTGCCTAGGGGTGGGGAGATAGCTCAGTAGAATAAGTGCTTGCCTGGCAAGCACAGGGTCCTGAGTTCAATCCCCAGTACCACAATAAATAAATAAAAATAAGATGCACTGCCTAGTAACAGGTCACTGTTACTTATTTCTGTTTTCTTTTAAGGGTTCATGGATGTGCCTGGTGAAAGTGAAATCCTGAGTTTGATTCCCGGTACCAAAAA